TATCACTCTTAAGATTTGCATTCTTTTTGGTGCTTATTTTTCTCATACTTTAATCCATGCTAATATATTGGGTTTCAATTCTTTCAGAAATGTCCTTATGTTTCTTGATTAAATACAATTTAACTTCCATTATGCACAGATTATATATCTATGCATGTAGAGGTTGGCCTTTAGTATATTGAGCCGGAATTAAAAGTACACATTGGGTAAATAATAAACTTTTAATATTAAAAATGAACAAATTTGGGGAAGAGTTTTGAAAATGATTGCTATGTCTGAACATTAAAACAGTTCTGCCATTAGAGGTGGTGGCACTGTTGTGTGCAGATGTCTATTCCCACACTGGCCATTCAACAAATCACACCTGGTCCCAGGTGTGCCAGTCAGTGAACAAAAAGATTATATACTCAATCTGCAAATTTCAATATTACATCATTTGAAAGGCTTAAAAGAAATATTAATTATCAAACATTAGTATTTCCTGGGAAAAAAATGTTTTTAAAGGGAAAGAAAGTGAATGCAGGGGTCGCATTCCCCCTAAAATTCCTAAAACTATGTGCAAACCCTAAAAATCTGATAAACTTTTGTTGGTTTTCCTAAAAAGTTAGAGTTATAGGCTAAATATAAATAAAAAAGCAATAATCTAAAATATAAGAATTTAACTACGTTAATTAAAACTGTTTTAATTTTGCCACATGGGAATTCTGATCCTGAGAGAGGTTTTTTGATAAATAAAGCGATGCTTAATGTGAGTCACCATGAGAATACTATTATGTCTCTTAGACTAATCAAAGATACCATTCGAAATTATGGCGGAGTGTTGAAGATCACCACAACACTATTAAGGGCAGTAAAAGAATCTCACAAATCATATCAAGAATATATTAGCAAAATGATCATAATTAATTTGTTTTTCTCTAACTTCTATTATAAATTGCTGATTTGAAATCTAATAATATCACACGATAGTTTTTCTTAATAAGGTAAGGTAAAGGGTAATAATAAAGTTTTGATTAAGAAGGTAAAAATTAAATAAAAATCAAATAAAAAAATATTCTATCTTAGAGAAGAAGGTTCTTTTTTTTAAAAATTACTATAGAGTCGAAATAGAATTTTAATTAATGGAAATAATTTTAATTAAAGGTATGCAGATTATTTGTTCTGATTTTTCGAACTATTTTTTTAAATACTTTTATTGTTTATATAAACATCGCAGATGATGAGAAAGGGAATTGTTTACAGTATATAACTTTAGTTAGCAATATTTTTGTCATGATTTCCTTCAATTTTATCTGATATTAAATTCTGGAAATTTTTCTGTGTACTTTAATAGTACATATAAGTATCAGAGATATGAGAATTTAATTTGTTTAAAGTATATACAATTTAAGACAGTATTATTTTTGTTAATATTTAAGTTGATACAGTTTTTATATGGTATATTTTTACTTCATAAGTGATTAAATCATTTTCTGTGTACTTAATCTGATAAGGATAGGAAAGAAATTAAATTGTGAATTTTTTAAATATATATATATCGCTTATAATAATTTTAAGTTCATTAAGTTTTAGTCAAATATTCCTTAATTTTTTATTTGATGTTGCATTTTAATTTATGAATTGTTTTGGATTTAATAAAGTATATTTAATTTTTCCAAGTGGGTGTTAATTTATTTTTTCTCTTGATTTATTCTCACTTTTGCCTGTTCCTGAATTGAGCACTTAATTTTTGATCGGTAATATGTAAAGTTGAAATTTCATTTTTACACTTTAGAGATTTCATTCTTGACTTAATAAATTTCAGAGCTTTATTTTATGGCTTGCAATCATTTATGATATGTATGGATGAATTATAATAATCTTCTGTTATGTAATAAACTACCGTGTGATCTATTTTTATCCTAGCAAAATAATATATTACCCCTAAACTTCTTGAAAAAAGTTCCTAAAATTACCCTAAAATTTTAAAAATCTTTGCTGCTACCCCTGTGAATGTCTTTACATATCTGTAATCTAATAAAAATGTCAATATTAAGTTACATCATCAGTCCATTTTTTGAGAAATTCAAAATGAATTATGTTAAAAAAATTATATATTCTAATTAAAAAAAAAATTATAGGGTTTAACACAATGTTGGATTTTAGTCAAAAACTTGTCAGTGTTAAAAACCGGGGGCACGTTTCTTTTTTGTCATTGGTGATATTTTAATGTTTGAATCATTCATAATACTTTATTATACTACTATAATCATATTTTATGTTATATATCATATATAAAATAAACACAATATTATTGAAACTATTGACTTTTCTATTTGATACTTAAGATATATTTTTTATAACTATTCATTTTATATTACAGGTTATTACTATAAGTTAATTATTGTCTATTCAATTTTGATTTTAATTCTTCTGTGGCACAATTTAGGCAGATTTTTCAGATTAAGTACAACTAAAGTGGTCGCTAATAATAGTCTGATCTCAACTTATTTTTTTATTCTCAATTTTTGTTATTACTAATATGCAGGGGAGCAGAATATGTTTCATCACACAAACAAGGTTTTGAATTAAATTCAGGCTACCCTGGGGAAAACTTTGGTCTAAGAAATTCTGAAAAAATATGTTGCTTTGCAAAATTTTTCTTTCTTTTAAAAAATGTCAATTTGTGTATTTATTCGTTTGAATTCTTTTAAGTTTGTGAGCCGGTCTTTAAATTTCATAAATTACTATAGAGTAGGTTCCAATGATTCATTTAAAAACATGTTCTTACTAGTTAAGTCAGGAGAGCTGTTAAAGGTTTGGGCTCAGATATTATTGTTATTAAAAAATCTAAATTTCACTTTTGGAATATTGGATTTTTAAAACCATGTGAAATTTTGAAATAATAACCATTAAAAAAGTGATCAAGAAACAACATAGATTTACAATAGAATCTGTGCAAATTGAGCACATGGGAAAGTGACAACCAGCGTGTAAGATTCAAAATTTTTGAAATTTTATTTTTTAAAAAAACAAACATTATATTCAAAAGCACTCCCAGGTTGCACATCAACTGTCACCAGGCCTCAGATTGTGCACCCCTACACTAAATGTTACCATAATAGAATATATATACTATATAACTTATTAATTTGAATGCAATGTAACTTAAAATATTTGGCCTAGTATGAAATGTGTAGAAAAATTCAAAGTTAGCAGATAGTTTACTGATTTTGGGAACTGTTTCATTCGTCTAAGTATGCACCCATATGTTCCCTGCACTTTTATAGTGGTAAGACTCAGGTTGTTCATGCATGTAAGCTAAAACCTTGATGGTTCAAAGCCAACAGGTTTCAGGAAGGTCTGTTTTCAGAATTTTTAGAATAAATTTATTTCTGTAATAAACTTTATTCAAATGAAGTGGAAGAGAGTAAGGGTTAGTTCTAGTAAGCCTGGAGGTTTTAACACAATCATTAGTATAACTTTTTACATTGAAAAAAAGATATTCTAGAGTTTTTAATCTTGAAACAAATTACAGTCGGACCTGTTGAGCTCGAATTCCACGAGAAACACAAAAAATTCAGATAAAGAGGTTTTGAGTTATGCAGGTACTTTAAAAAATTAAATTTAATTAAGAAATTAAACCTGCTCTAATTTTTTTAGTTGAAAAAAGCGGGCATTTCTGTGAATTAATTATACCACATACATCTATTAACAATTTTTTTAAAAACAAATTTAACACTGAAAGTAATTTTCAGATTTTTGACGTCGAACCTTTGTTACGATGATTCTTTTAATGTTAGAGAGAGTCGCTAATACCCCATAGCCAATAATTTCTAAGGATTCTAGAAAAGTTAGTAAGAGTTCTACAGTTTTGATCAGTTATGATTTTCAACTTCATCTGATATTCTATTGACATTATCTATGATTTGCATGTTGCCAGGCAGTTGTCCACTTGTAAAAATATTCAATATTAATTTCAACATTAAATCCCGATTTTATTGAATTTCCGTTGCCAGGCAGTTGTCCACTTGTAAAAATATTCAATATTAATTTCAACATTAAATCCCGATTTTATTGAATTTCCATTTTTTGGAAGAGAAATTTTTCATCGATGGCATCTACAAGTTTGCGTACCAACTGTTTTCTATAGTTCACTTTAAAACTCCTAGTTATCCTTTGATCCATTGGTTGCAATTTTGAATTTCTAGCTTTCTTATCCATGTTGAGTCAATCCGTCGTACTCATTAGCCCCTAATTTATTGCCAGAATCATTGTATTCTTTTCAAGTTAAGGATGTGCAGGGACAGTGATCGAAATCCCAAGAAACGCCCCCAACCTGTTCATCTCTACTTCCTGTGGGTTCACGAAATTCATCTCTGTCTGCAAGTTCTACTGATAAAGAAAGTTTTGTTATTTGGACATTTGTACTCAATTACGAGAAACAGAGGTTTTGAAAAAAAAATGTTTGACATAAACATGGAAAATACATTGATTTAAGATAGTAAATGTAGTGAATTTTAGAAATTTCGAGATATAGAGGTTTTCGAGGTAAGCAGGTTCATTTGTAGTTTCAAACTTTTCAAATAATTTAGTTAAATATAGTCAAATAATGGTTAAATCCAAAAAATATGGTCAACATTTAAGTAATGCCTAGATTTTAAAATTTGCAAACAGAAAAGGAAATGGTTCTTTAATTTGCATTTCTGTAATATAAAAATTTAAATAATTGAAACATAAAGATTTCAGATTTTTATTTGAATACTTTTTGAAAAGACAAGAGCTCTCTCATGAAATTAAGTATTAAAAGGCAGTATAAATATGTAGTCCAGTTTTAGAGTCTTATAGCACTGATCAGTTATGCCCATTTCTTGTATTTTTATTGGTTTATGAAGACACTTTTGTTTATTTTTTGCATTGATTTGTGTTAGTATTTTATTTTTGGTTTGCTTAGTTCTTGTTTTAATTTTAATTTTAATTTTTGGTTAATTTTTTATTGCATGTTTTCCTAAAACTTTTAGTTAGGCGTAACCCTATAACCGGGGAAGGTTTTGAAGTAGACATGGATGATAAAAAAGAAATATTTGAAGAACTGATCGATGATCAAAAGCCAAGTGATGAAGAAAAGATAACTATCGATAGTAGTGGTAAGTTTGTAATTTGATAATTGGGACTAATTTGTAATTAGGGGCTGAAGAGTTTGTGCCTACTAGTTTTTATTTTTTAAATTTTTTTCCTTTTCATTTCCTATTTTAAATCATTACATATATAAGAGAATAAAATTTTTCTATTATTAACTTCATTCTTTCTAATGGAATTTTTTTATTTTTGATATTTTTCTCAGTTTTAATGATTGTTTAAATGCTTGGTTTTCCTGCCAGGGAATGTGTACACAACTAGGAGACTTTCTAGCATTGTAACAAAAATTCAACTTGTTAACTTGGCACCAAAAGGCTTTAAACTTTTTATATTTTACTTTTATTTCTTACAAATCTAATCTTTGTATGAAGTTTCAGAAAAGGCCTGTGAACAACCAAATACTGAAGCTCCTCCTAAGGTAGTTCAGACAAGCATACGTATCCGCAATCCCCCAGGAGGGAAGTCTTCAGGAATATTTTAAATGTTCAAGTTAATCTACATTTCCATTTACCAATGCTTTATATTAAATCTTTTTTTCTTCTAAGGTATTTTCAAACTTGGTGATTTTTTGCTTATGTGATAAAATTATACTTCCAAGTTTGATGTTAATGTAAGTTATTTACAACAGTGATATTTTTGTTATTCTTTTCTCTGGAACTGATTTAATGTGATGGTAAGATGTATCTTCAAAAGTTTTTCATCGCTCAAGCAATGATTTTACTTTTTATATATGTACTTTAATACTAAAGACCAATGTTATTAAACTTTTACATTTGGCTAGTCACAATTTATAATGTATTATGCAACCAAAGCTTTTTACCTTAATGCTCATTAAATATTTAAGTGTGCAATGATAGCACCTTTTGAATACTGTGTTCATACATAAATTTTTTCATATCTTCAGTTGTTTCACTAAATTTATGATCCTTAATTGCAGTGTATTTTACTACGGATATGTGAAAGAAACTTCCTGTTCAATTGACCACTGTATTATTTTAAAATAAAATTCTATGTCATTTCAATTAACTTTTTTGTGTGTTGAAAATAAACTGCTGAAATTTTTTTTATTTTTAATTTCAAATATACGTTACAAATCTAGTTTTTATTTTAGAAGTCTGTTTAAATCTACTCTTAAATAACATTTGTAATCTTTAAAATGAATAAAACAAAAAAAATATGAAGTTATTTTTAAAAAAAAGTTAATAGAGAGCCAGATAGTTAAGTTTTTCACATTAAGTTTATTTATTCTGTAGCAAATTTAATTTCTTAGTTCAAAACTTTTTCTTGTTAAAAATCTGGAATTTTATTGCATTATTATTACACTTCCTTAAAAAAACACTTTAGGATAGTCAGGGATCTGTCCAGGCCGAATTTACTACCGTTTAGCGGTACCTTCACAAATTCAATTTTAGGAAAAACGATAGTTTCACAAAATACTTTTTCTAAAAATTTTAATTTTGTATCCCTTAAGAATCGATAAATCTATATTTTTACCATCTTTTTGTGTCGATTTTTTATATAATTTTTTCACAAATTATGTCTAACTTTTCACAAAATAAATTCGCCCGGTGGCTGAGTGGTAGCGCATTGCGTTGTTGTGCCACAGGTGCCTGGTTCGATCCTCGGACCGGGCCAGGTTGACTCTGCCTTTCATCCCTTCAGTGGGTCGATAAATGAGTACCAAGCATGCTTGGGAACTAAACACTGGGGGTTCCGTGTTCGGCTGACCACCTGACCTAGACAGACTCCTGATAGTACTATCTACAAATTAATGCTCATAAAAAAGTTGATGGTAAATAAAAAGTGGACTCAACACTAAAAAATCTGATTGGTTCTAAGCAAGTTATATTGAGCAATAAATTAGTTTACTTTTAACTTCCGCCTCTTCCAATTTTAAATGTTCTAGAGAACTTAGAAGCACATTTTTGTAATTCTATCTAGAGACAATATTGAGGATCAGTTTTTCGTGGAAATGTTAAGATTTAAAAAAGTACTGTCAATTGGTTGTTGATGGAAGTTGGTCTTCATACTTTTTCTCAAATTATTTTAATCAGTGTCATTTTCTTGGAGTGGAAATGCCACTTCCGTTGGCGTCATAAAAGATAGATCTATGAATAAAATTTAGCCTCTATAAAAATAATCCTAATATAATTAGTTTAAAAACAAATTTATGAATGATGGAGCTATTTTATATAAATAATCATGTTTTTTTTTTAATGTTTGCATTAAATTTTATATTGTAAAAATTAGCTTTAAAAAGATGAGGAGGTATGTTTGTTTTTTCTAAAATAACTTATTTTTCCTAATTTAACTTTCAGCACTAAAAATGAATCATAGAATCTGTTTTAGTGCACTCTTACTGCCGCGTAAATTTGTAGCATTTTTCTTGCTGTTTTAGAAAATTTCAGTTTGCTTCTTGTGACTCTACACAAGAACATAAGCTCAAATCTGAAATGCTCATAAAAAGGGCAATAATGGTTAGTTCTAATGTAGCTAAAAACAAGAACATTGATTCCAAGAATGGAATTAATAATGAAGTATAATTTTTCAATTAGTATTTATACCGGGTTCTCGTGGATCAGAAAAAACCTGGAATTGTCAGGGAATTTTATTTAAACTCCAAAAATCAGGGATTAGTCAGGGAAAGCTGCAATTTTTTTTCAAAAACCTGAAATATTCCTATGTCATACCTAGAAAATAACCAGTCTTATAATTATTGTCAGTAACAGTAATCAGTTATTGAGATTCAAAATAAATAATTCTTTCATCTATTACAATTATTTGAGGTAAAAATTTAACATTTTTGTCAAACTAATATGTTCCCATCCTCTTTAACTAATTTTTACATAAAAAATCTAATTTTTCACATTACAAATAAAGGAATCAAAATTTTCTGATGAAAATATAGTTTCAATTACTTTTTATAAATTTCGTTTAAAAAAAGCTAAGAATAAACATTGCCTTAAATATTTTTTAAAATTTATATATTCTATTATATAAAGCGAGCATTTTTTTTTCTATAAAATAGTGATTGATTATCATACAAACATTAATAATTTGAATAGTTTGTCAGCAAGAAAACTTAAAAGCAACTGAAATCTATTTTTCTTTGTTCCAACGAAAATTTTAGGTACTTGGGCATTGAAAGATGTTTTAATAACTGTTTAGTTTGACAAAAAAAATTCATACCTTTTGAATTTATTTTAATTAGTTATACCTCTGTTTTATTTAATTTATTTTAATTAACTTCCATGAGTTTGAAAATTATTTTATTATTTGAGGATTACAACTGGGCAGCATCTCAATTTCTTTTCAAATTATAAGAAGTTGAAAAATGTTTTTTTTTTGGAGAAATAAAAATGTGTTTAAATTTGTAAAAATTTTTGCATCATATCTTAAAAAGGATTTATTTTATATATGTGAGTTTAGTTTGTTTTTAAACATTATGATGGGTTATAGGGGTCTAAAATATTTTTGTACCCGGGGGCCCTTCATGCTATTAAGACGGCCTTGGTACTATGTGTAATCCAAAACAATTGTTTAATAGCATAATAAGAAGTTATTTTAAATTTTTGAAGCATTTTAATAATGTAAGCTTATAAAATGTTATGGGAACATGGCAAGTTTAAATGAGACTTTGTGCATGTACTTTTTTTATAAGTTTAAGACTGCTTTTTTTTGGGATCTATGACTATCTTTTTTTTTTTTAGTTCTTTGAAATTTGGTTGAAACTTTCAACACAAAGTACTGAGACATCTATTAAATCACAATAACTAAATCACTTTGTGACTAACTAAAAGGCTTATCACTTTTTTTTTGTTTTTGAGAAAAATAATAATGGTTATAAGGATATTAAATCTCGTATTTTCAATTATTTCAGATTGATTTACATATAGAATGAAGTTTGCTGCTGTCAAAAAGTCAACTAAATTTAAGATAGGCATTTCTAAATTTTAACTTTTTTTCTAAAGTGTTGCAGACTACAACAGCTGTTGAGGCTGCTTTCTTTCTAAATTATTGCCCTCGTTCATGCACTGAAAAATTTTGTAATTGGGGAATCTTTGTTTAGAAATAGTTTACTGCCACTTTTTGACAATTTGGGAGAATTACAGTTGGCTTGAAACTTTGTTTAGCAGTTAAAGTTGCTACTGCATAATTTTTTTAAAAACAGTAGATCCAAGCTTTAAACAACAGTTAGCTAGCAAAGTAATAAGTTGAACAGCAGAGAAGTTGCTTAACAATTAATTATATGATGCGTTAATCAATCTGTACACTGCTGTATTCTAACACAGCATTTTAGAAAAATACAATTAAAATACTTATAACTGATTAACTTGAATAGAAATTCAGCTCAAGTACTGAGCGACTTGATTATGTTGTATGGAGCTCTATATCAAAAAAACTTTATAAGTCTCTTTTAGAATTTAGAGGTCATACAATTTATGCTAATCTTCTGTATATATTTAGTGTTTGAGTGATATTACCTTGTGAAACAAACCGAATTATTAATGTTTATTAAATTAAGATGAGAGTGAGGGAAGAAAAATACTAAGAAACATGTTTCATATCTTTTGAGACATAAACAATTCATCTATAAAGTTGAAGTTGTAGTCAAGTTTTTACAAAATAACGTAATAAAAGCGGTTGCAGTAAAATTGAAGTTGTAGTTAAGTTATATCATACCCTCTTTTTTTTTTCTTCCAATTGTATCGTATTGGCGATGAAATTGGGCTACTGGTGTGTGTAGAATAGAATTCTCTACCTAAGGCAACACATCGCATCTTTTCACAATCAAGTCATAGAAGAAGGAAGTACATAAGTTTCTGTCTGTATTTTCAGTATATTAAAAATTCTAAGTTAGGAAACTATATGGAACTGAAAATTACATTGAACATTGGCGATCGAAATGGGCTGTAGGTGGCGTAGGGAAAAACTCGCCTACCTATGGCAACACTACACATGCTCTCCCCATTATCATGTGTAGAGTCATAGAGGAAGGAAGTACGCTAGTTTCTCTCTTGATTTTCATATAGATTAAAATCTTTTGAGTTGGAAAACTACATTAAGCATAATTCTAAAATGCATCACGGAAATTTTTAAAAATATTGAATAAAAAGGGAAAATATCGTGGTACATTCTTATACAACTGAAGAGGAGAGGGAAGGGAGAAGGGTTAAAGGCATGAAACCGGTCTCCTCAGATGGCGTATTCGAGCGTTGCGACCGCCAATAGTTTTAAAAAAAGAGCATCGAGAAAATTGTTTGACAGTTAAATGCGTAAAATATTAAAGGGAAGAATTACATTCCCTTTCAGTTGATAGTACATACCAACTAAAAAGATGGGGGGGGGGTCAAGACGTGGAACCGGTCTCCTCCTTAGATGTATTTAAGCGTTACAATCGCGAACGCATAAAATAATCTTTTTAATCATAATTATATAACTTCAAATACTAGGATCGTTTCTTTATGAGACTACTACTTTGATCATTTTCTGATCTAGAATCATTGGTACTAACTCATATTTGTTTGGGCTCATCGAAAGTATCAGATGTATTGTAATTTTCTGTCGATAAAAATTACTTTTAGAACTTCAATTCTTTTCATTTTTGATGAGAAATTTAAAAATGAGTCTTTGATAAACTAGTAGAATTTTACTTTTAAATATTGCTGAAAATTCATTAAAATAATTTTTTACAATTCAAAATAAGAATTATTTTTTTCCTTTTCCCACGGTTCCTAGTAGAATACCGATGCCAAGCATCACTGGCTGCGGTGAATAAGCGGGTGAGTGATCACTTTTTTCGAGCTTACGTAGGAACCGAGTGTGCGCGATATCGATTCTTGTTAAATTGTTCTATCGTGAAGTGCTCAACTTCGCGCCTGGGTTGTCGGACTGCCAAAGCAGGGGAGCCTCCCTTTTGCATAGTTGTGAAAGAAGTGTGGAAATTATAGAAAAAACATATTAGGGGAAAATATCGTAGTATATTCCTATACAACTGAAGGGAGTGGAGGGTCAAAACATTGCAACGGTTTTCTCCTCAGAGTTGCGATCTCGATAAGTGCGTATGGCAACCCTGCATCTTTCATCAAGTAAAATCGAAGTTGTAGTAAAGGTACATCGCAGTATACATATTTTCTTTTTATTTTTAAGCATGGCAATTCACTTTAACTGCTCTGCAGATTTGCCATCCAGATGTTCTGCTAAACAATAATGACCAGATGTTCTGCTAAACAATAAGTACGGCAACCCTGCATCTTTTATCAAGTAAAATCGAAGTTGTAGTGAAGGTACATTGCAGTATACATATTTTCTTTTTCTTTTTAAGCATGGCAATTCACTTTATCTGCTCTGCAGATTTGCCATCCAGATGTTCTGCTAAATAATAATGATCAGATGTTCTGCTAAACCATAAATACGTATGGCAACCCTGTATCTTTTATCAAGTAAAATCGAAGTTGTAGTAAAGGTACATCGCAGTATACATATTTTCTTTTAATTTTTAAGGGGCCTCCCTGGCCGAGCGGTATCGCCGGTCAAACGCTCTGTTAAGCGTGGAGGTAGCGGGTTCGAATCCCGCCGTAACCCTGGATGTATTCTTTGTGATGTCTTTCTCTGAATTGTTCTATCTGTATTTTCTACTTGACAATGATATATAAGCCTATATATTGAGCACACAAGTCAGCAAATGTATGTAATTTCAATAAAAAATAATTAATTTTTAAGTACGGCAATTCACTTTATTAACTGCTCTGCAGATTTGCCATCCAGATGTTCTGCTAAACAATAATGACTTGTTTTAAGTCTGATATTAGCAACGATTTCTATATACATATATGCGTAAGTGTATTTCTGAATATTAATAGGTAGTTAGGAAATTGGCCTTTCAGCATTTAGTTTCGCTTTCTGCGAAAAATGAAAACACTTTCTTGTCATGGACTACTTCAGACTGATACTATACTGTTCTGATTATATAACACTCATACTTGAATATAGTATTATAGATAAGTGCATTGTATTAAAAAATGGTAGACGGGATGGGAATTCCAGAAATTTGATACTTAGATCCAGAGTTTCATCCAAATACAACTGACAATCAGTTCTAAAGTGACTAACACTATTTAAATGTATTATATTGCTAAACTACGTAACGTTAGTGTATATAATACATATCTGAGTCAGTGTAACAATGACATTGTCTGGAGTATGCAACAGTAAAAACGACTTCATGTTGCTGAGAAGTCAATATTTTTGCAAGTGTGTGAACTTCTCTGATTTCAACATATTTTATTAAGTGCAGAGTATTAAATGCTAGAATATTAAAGTCTTTGTTAAAGTATCACCATGAAACTATTCTAGTGTAGTGGTCTTTTTTTTGTGTATGTATTAGTTATACACATTTAATGGGATTCAAAATTCTTTAAATTTACTAACCTAAAGTTCTATGTAACATAAATTTTGTACCACTACAAAAAAAAACAAACAAAAATCTACCTCACCAAGCTGAGTAGGGCAGCATCTCTAGTTAGTTTTATAAATTTTTAAAGTATCTAACCCTAAAAAACTAATAATTTGTCTTATAGACTACAGATCCCTGCCAGTTTTTAGAATTTAAGATGTTTCTGTACCCTCACACTACCTCACTACAGTACCAATATAACTAATATATGCTGCATAGCATTTTAAAGGTCCTTATTTTTGATTTTTGTTTTTTAAAAGTTCTTTTTTCATTGAGTATTTGTAAAAAGAGCTTATTTTCCAAAATAGGATTTTTTTTTTAAACATGTTGATTGTCTCCATATTTCGCAATGTTTAGCTCAAAGTTTTCACTAATCATTTAATCATCCTCCATTTTGGCTTACCGTAGCCCTCCACATGGTATGAAAGTGCCAATCATTTTATATGTTTGAACAATAACTTGCTGGTCCGAAAGCATGGATTAAGTGGAAAAATTTCTTGTAATCACACATGCATTTAGCGAGAGATTTCAGGCTTCAAGTCAGAGACTGAAACTAAACTTTGTGCCAAATTTTTCCACTATATGAAAAATGTATTTTTATTTCTTGTTAATTTCTTTGCTCATAATGCTCCATTGTCTTTGTTACATGCACAGGCAAGCATACAATATTCTTGCACTGTTCTATTTATAGATAAGTGGCACAATATTTCAATATGACTGAGATCTATCATTAAGAAAGTATTTTCATGAGGGTCCAAAGCAGTGCTCCATCTTTCACGTTTATTCATCATTTGATTTAATAAAGATAGGAATTTAGATTTTTTAAGCACAGGCATTTGTGCTTTAGGAACTGTTCATTAATTATATAAACTATATCAGGATTTTTATTGTAGTCCTATTTTACTGAATTTGTTATTAAAATTTTCAGCACTCTTGGGTTATATTTTTTTTAAGAAAAACTCATAAAATTTTAGTGCCAAGATTTAAAAAAAGTGGATTGGGGGACTTTTTTAACATTTTGCAAACGTATTTCGAAATTTTATGTGATTAAGATTTGACATTATATTGTATCTCTTATTCATTTAATAAAAAAAAAAAGTTGAAATTAAAAATTCCGCTATCTCAGATTTGTTAAATAAAGTGGATATATGAATCATATAATAATTTACTTTCGAAAAAGATATTTAGATATTTCATTTCAAAATTATTGAAAAATGTTTAATCATTCCATTAAAGAATTACTAAACAAAATTAAAAACTTAAATAAAAAAAATTAGTAGGTTATTAGTAATTCTCTACACACTATCATTTCAGTATGTTCATAATAATTATAATCTTGTAAATGTATTTGTGAAGTAAACATTTATAATTAATATTGTAAGTTTTTATCTAAATTTAGAGTTAAAATTTTTAAAAAAATTTCATGCTTAATTAATTCAAAAGCAAAGAATGAGAAATCAGTACTTATTTCTTTTTTGTTGAGAAATTTGGCTGTGCATCCTGAAGTAAAATAAATCATCCAAAGGTGATAAGCATAGTATTACTTTCTGTGATTTTCTACAATCATCTATCAGTCAAAAGATTGACTAAAACATGTAGGACTTGGTGTCAAAACCGTAATCAGTCACTGTGTATTTTTGCATTTCCCCCCATTTTATTAATCTATCCCAAATATTTTTTTATTCTGTTCAAGGAAACTCAGTATGACTATGTATGCAACTACTGCAACCAAGATATTTAAAGCACACTTTTAAAATCTGCTGAAATGAAATTTTTATTACATTTCTATTTTCAATTGAAATATTGTTAACTTTTTTATATTAAGCTAGTTTGTTTGAAATGAAGAAAATATAAAAATATACTTGTTTTTAATATGTAGAATTAGTTACAAATAATACTAGATTAACTTTAGTTATTTAGGATTAATATATTACTCTAAATTTTTTAGTTTTAGAGCCACCTGATTTAGGAATCAGTGACATTTCTGAAACAGGATCAATCGAAAGTGACTCGTCTGCATCTGGAGTTGTGACGGAGCAAGTTGTGACGGAGCAAGTTGTGACGGAGCAAGTTATAACAGCAACTGCTACCAAAAGAAGACTCTTTGGCAAAGGAAGAGCTATTCCTGAGAAAAATTATGGTAAGTATGTTTTATAAAGTCCTTTATACTAAAGATTCCCTTTATACTAAACAATTCATGCTGCTCCATTGTCTTTGTAATAGGCACAAGCAAGCATACCAAGTTCTTGCTCTGTTCCATTTATAGATTAATGACACAATATTTCAATATGACTGAGATCAATCATTACAAGGTCGGCTCCAGTAGGGGTCAGGGGGGGCAATTTCACCCCTGTCTGGCATGACCGCCTCCCCCCCCCATCGGGAAAATTTAGAGTCTCGTCGGGAAAATAGTCTGGTCAAATTTTTTTCTAAATAAGGTCAAAAATTCACTTACAAATGCGTAATAAAAATTTTTGTAGCTGATTTTTTATTTATTTATTTTTAGGAATAAGTAACAAAAATTAGTAAAATATATTGTAAATTCTATGTAATTGTAGTTTCACTGCACTACTTCTAAACTTTGCCCATACATTGTTAAACTAGAGACCGAATGCGATTAGACATGGTTGAAATTGAAGATTTTTGAAGTCTCTTAGAAATCCTTTCCCATAGACACATCTTCATTTTCTTGGAGACTTATCTTTCAAACTGCTAATAATCACACCTCTTTGCTGGGGGAATATCTGACAAAAGCCTAAGGGACAGAAAGTGATGCAGGTCCTCTTCTTCACAAATTCTTTTTTATGTAATGTGTTTAATCAATGGTTTATGGAATCACATAATTGCTTTTTGAAATTTTCAAGCAAAATAAAAATAAAAAATTTTTTTCCCACCTTTTTTTAAAAATACTTTTAAATGAGGAAAATCATTTACTTATTCGGATTCAAGGTTTATATTTTAATCAACGCAATAAATATGCAGTTGGAAAAAAAGGAAAACAAACAGTAACAAAATATTTTTAATTTATTATTTTTTTATCATTTTCTTAATAGTGGAAAGATTGTTGATTGATTCAGAAAAACAATTAAACTGTTCGTATTCAATATCTTAAAATATATATTAATCTACATAACAGATTCTCATTGACTTATTTTATGTACAGTGTATGAAATGGAAAAAGGGAACACCTTGATTAACTTTTGATTTAATCATATTTTCACGTACAAAGAGTCAATACCATATTTTAAGTTACGAAAATAAACAGAAAAGCGAATTCTGTTCTGGATAAACATACAAGTTTGTGTATAGGTTTTTAATTTTCAAAATGAGGAAACAGTCGCAATCTGGAAGGTATGGTCTGAAGTTATGGCAAAGAGAGAGTTGGAAAGTTTGGGTCCTTTAATTTTAACTTCACTCTTCGATTATAGCCCATTATCTCAAGAACTCTTTGAGTGTATTGAAAAATGTTTGCATAAAATTACAAAAAACATTTTGTACAAATATTTTTAAGCAAAAATAATTTTAAACAATTATGTATTTGTTATTTTTTTATTAGTTTATTAAATAATAGTAAAATATATTGAATTGTATGTTCTACATATTTTTGCATTCTTTTAATCTCAAAATACAAACTTTCAGAGCAATCGATTGATTAATTTCTGAGTTACCAATTTTAAAAAAGTCAGTTTGCTTAAAATTTTATTTATCTCGAATTATTCGACCGGTTTCATTCAAATTTTGTATTTTACAACTTAAAATTACCTTCCGTAAAATTATATAAAAATTTGTATATTTTGCTTTCTTATATTATTTTATCCATCTTTGAACAACCGACCTAATGTTCAACTCTGTAGCCTTGTAATTTTGAACCAATCCAGAGGACAAGGAAACTCCTGGATACGTACCTCCAGAGGTATTGATTTGATATGGGAACTTGGAGGACTTTGTGTCGAGACAGATTTAACGTGCATCAATCGCCATTTACTATACGGGGATTTCAAAAATCGGGATTCTGAATTTTTCCAACGCATATTATAAATAAAAATATAAAAAATATTTAATATTTTATAACTATTTAAAACCATATTTTTTGCATGTACAATTCCCTTTAAAAAAGCGAATTTTCGCAATTGTATGAAAATTTTTTCGATTCAATCGAAACTCAAAACGCTCTTGAGATATGACGAGATTGAGATGTTATCATCATTGTCATTGATATATTATTTCGAAGCTATTACTATGAAATTAACAAAAGAGGACAAAATGAAAGACATTTTTATTTACTTATATCTGATATTAATATTGAAAGTGAACATCATTTCACCTTATTTTCCTCTTTCAATCATAATCCTTAAAATTATCAAAGGTTATATATATGGATAACCACCAGCTTATTTACCTTTCTGCATAAAAATGAAAAAATATTTTGCTATTATCAGCAATATTGACATAAACTTTAAATCAGAGGTGTGAAACTCAATTTTGCAGAGGGCCATATATTAAATTTAGAATATGTAGGCGGGCCAGATGCAAATAAAAAAAATGTACTGAATTTTTAAAAAATTTTCTTTATCTAATTATATAGTTTATAATATACGGTTGTTAAAAATCATATCAAAGTTATAAAAGATGGTTATTATTTTGAGCTCGAGGATCCAGATACCCGACTTCCCTTGTTTTTGACAAGCTCATTGACGTCCGATTTCATATTTGTTATAATTATTTTAAGAATTGATTGGAGATGTTTATTCGTTAGTCTTGCGCGATGTTTGTTCTTATTTATTTTCATGACGGAAAACATCTGCTCCCATAAATAGGTGCTACCAAACATGCACAGAATGCGTGCTGCATGCTTTTTTAATTCTGGGTAGTTATCCAAACTCTTGAAATATTGTGCATAAAATGTAAGAGCGTTAACCTCTTTAAATTTTTCTTTCAAAATACTGTCCGATTGAAGATTTATCAACTCCATTTGCAAATGAACTGGTGTCTGTGTAGCTTCAAAATTGAATGGATTGTTGAAAATTGGGAATTCCGTTTCATTCATTTTGTGGAAGTCTTCAAAACGATTGTTGAATTCCTTGATAAGATTTTGCAGAAGTTGAGAATATTGATCCAATTTCTTTGTGGTTCACTGTTCCAAATGATTTTAAATGAGGGAAATGATCCAAAATATGATTTTTTTACTTGATTTTCCCAGAGACTTAACTTTGTTTCAAAGGCTTGAATACATGAATACATTTGAGTGACAATCAGATTTTACATTCAGATCAGTCAAGTGTTAACTCATGTCTACCAAAAAGGCACAATCAATCCACCAGTCATTGTCATAATCAATTGGGTTACCTTTTTCTAACATGAAAGCTTGAATAGAGTCACGTAATGGAAAAAATCTTTCTAAAACTACTCCTCGACTGAGCCAACGAACTTCGGTGAAATAAGGGACATCAATAAAATTTTCGTCCGAATCTTGTAAAAATTGCCTGAACTGTCGGTGATTTAGTCCTCTGCTCCTTATAAAATTTACTATTTTAATTATAGGTTGCATGACATGATCCATTTTTAAATGTTAGGATGCCAATGATTCCTGATGAATTATACAGGGAAATCCCACAAAATTCCCTGATGCTTTCTGTTTTAATTTAGTTACAACTCCCGAATGTTTGCCAGCCATGGCAGGAGCGCCATCCGAAGTTGTGCTGCTAAGTATATTTCAGGCGAAGATTCCGCCTGTTGCTAAGAAATGGCGTTACTGTCTCTCTCGCTTGTCTAGGCAATCGCTGCTCTCGAAATTACTTATAAATGTAGTGTGCACATTTTAAAACTTCCGTAGAGGAATCGAGTGAAGTCTAAAAGCTCTAAAAAACACAATTCTTCTTTCTGTGACACATCGCAATTGCGGGCCGTATTGATACGAACCGGGGGCCGGATGTGGCCCGCGGGCTGTATCTTTGACATGACTGCTTTAAATGAATGTACAGTGCGCAAAAAAATAAATGGACCCACCGGAATAATTTTTAATCTTAAGTTCGGATCCTCATGTTCTTGGACTCATTCTTAATGGTTCGAGAGGGTGACATCAAATACACTAATTAATTAATCCAAACGATATTTTAAGTTAGGATTCAGATTTCTGACTCCCAAAATATAGTAGTTTCAATCTGGAAATATTGTTTTAATAGTTTTTTCAAGACCGCGCTTGAAAGTTAGGACCCTTTAATGTTAACTTTAGTTTTTGCGTATTTCACTATATCCCAATTTTTTTTTAACAAATTGAAAAAGTTTTGCATACAATTCCAATCAGATCAATCAATTCCTATTCGTTTTTGTAAAGATAATTTCATGCAAAATAAAACTTTTAGTAAACATTTATTATTACTTTATTTAAGAGAAGTCGAGAAACTTAAGAAATGTAAGGTATACAATTTTTTCATCATTTGCAATTGGGATATAGTGATTAAAATACAAAATTTAAGAAAAATCAGTCAACTGAGTCCTGAGAAATAAAATAAAAACTCTTATTTTTCGAAATTTGGTCCCCTAACTTCTTAATTTTTAGTGTCCATTTTTTGTGTCTTAAAATTCGTAACTATGACAGCAAAAGCAAATTTAAATCGTAGAGGAAAGAGTGTTTCGCGTTGATATGTGGTGCACAATAATTAATTAACTGTGTGAAAGGTTATTCGTTGCAGGCGTATGTCAATATGTAAAAAGCTTCTGAGGGACGAAACAGAAATCTTTTGCAGAGCAGCCATATGTGGCAATTTTTTTTAAAATTGTAAGTTAATATTCGTTTCTCGAAAGCAAATTTAAAATTTGTAAGTTGAAAAATAATTACAAATTTTAGCTATTGTGTTTGAATTTTATATTTTAAGCCAATTAGGGATGAGATTCTTCCGCTTTTTAGCGGATTTCCGCTATTTTCACTTTTATCTCTTAAATTTCAGCTTTTTTTTATCAAAAATTCAGATTTTCTAAAAATTTCATTTTTTTTATAAGTATTCCGCTTTTTCAGAAAATTCTCCGATTTTCAAAGAGAAGCAGAAAATTCAAACTACATAGCTACCAATCCTTTCTCATTTTTACTTATTTTACGTATTTTCTCCCCTTTTACACGCAGCAGATAAGATTTTCCGAATTTTTTACCCGCCCTCCAGATGGATCCGATTTTCATAGTTCAAACGACGCTGCTTCTGACAAGCCTTTCAGAGGTCCCAAGTCTGGAATCTGCTAATATCTCGATTCTTATTCACACGATTTTAATATCAAACATAGCTTTTCATATTTTCGTGTTGTGATTCTTATTCTTGCGATTTGAATATTGTACGTTGCGATTCTTATTTACGAGATTTAAAAATCCGATATTGTGATTCGTATTTACGCCTTTTTAAAAACCTATGTAGCGATTCGTATTCACGCAAGTTTAAAATTCAATGTCTTGATTTGCTCATGCGGTTTATAATATCAAACATTGATTTTCGTATTTATACGTGATTTTAAAATAAGGCATTGGGATTCGCATTCACGCATTCTAAAAATTATGCATCATAATTCTTATTTATGCAATCTAAAAATTACGCATCATGATTCGTATTTACGCAATCTAAAAATTATGAATCGTGATTTGTATTTACGCGTTTTAAAAATTCTATATCCCAGTTTGTATTTTCTCATTTTCAAAATCGTATATCTAGTTTCATATTCATGTGATTTCAAAATCCATAATTGTTATTCATATTCACGCAATTTTAAGATCAACTATCGCGATTCTTGTAAGAAGTAAATTTTTTTTAAAATTAGTTACTATAAAGGTGACTGTTTTTCTAACGACGATTATTAGTATATGTAAGTGTTACAACATCAGAGAAACTGGAAGGGAATATATTCAAAACTTACATTCTGTGCTTGCAAAGAAGAAAAAATAGGATTTGTCACAAGATGTTTGAAGATGGACTAACGACTAAATATAGCAAACATAAAAGATATAGCAAACAAAAGCAATCACTTAAAAAGGGATTTAATTTAATTTTTTTTTTTTTGGAAAAAGAGTTAATTAACTCATCATCAAAATTTTATTTATAATTGCTGTTATTTATGCTATAAAATGCAAAATTCTTATCAAATAAAAAACAATTATCTAAACAGTTGCTGATTGTCATGTAATTTTTCAAACTAAAATAGCAATTTTTGTATGTTAAGGAGTTACTATATATTTCTACTTCACTGTTATTGATATGTTTCAGAGGGCTCTAGTTAGATTAGACTATAATATGAACATAATGATTCGGTCCATTGTTAAAGTTTTTTTTCCCAATATAATTTAAAAAGTAATATTACTGATATATTTGCTATAAATCACATAACAGTATTTATTAAAAGAAATGAAATATTAATGTATATTCTCAGTAGTTTTAATTTGCTAAACCAGGTAGTTTTTCAAGTAATAATTGTCTCTTATGTGAACTGAGGAAAAATATAATTTCCAGCTTTATTTTTTCAATTGGTAATTTTTTTTCTCACTAAATGTTAAGTATCAATGCAATCATTTATATAATAATAGATTAGTGCACAATTGTATATCAACACATTATTTATTACCTTAAACTGTCTGGAATTTATTATTAAAGGGTTGCGCTTGCGTAAAATTTACTATCGTGGAAATTCAGCTTTTTTGCGTTTTGGCTAATCTCATCCCTGGCCAATGGACTTAACTCTTTTTCTCAAATGGAGAAATTAACATTTTGCGGACATAGATGTTCACTTTAAAAGCATTTTTGAAAAGAAAAAGGAATTGCAGGGAGAAATTTTAAAAGTATCTTTGTATTTATTTACAATATATTAACATCGAGTCCCCTGATTAAAATACTTGCTAATTTCTTAGATTTTCTGGAATTGCCTATCAGTCAAAAGATTGGCTAAAACATGCAGGACTTGGTGTCAAAACCATAATCAGTCGCTGTGTGTATTTTTGCATTTTCCCTCATTTTATTAATACAGTGTAACGTCCCATATCCGGACGTCCTTTTTCCGGAAGTGTCGATTTCCCGGACACTTTTTAACAATCAAAATAAACAAACATTTCTTCATCTTCCCCTCTCCTTTAAAAAAAAAAAAAGGAAGTCTTTTGACAGGTTTTCCCCCTTTTCAGCTTCTAAAGATCTATGCATTGAACCCATAAATCAACAGAAAAGAGAACAGAAGATCTACTAAGACCATGACTCTCCACCTCTGGAATGCAGGAAAAAGGCGGGGGGGGGGATTTGTTTTCAAAGGAGCACAACCAAGTCCCCTCCCTCCCCCTTCTTTCCTATGCAGCTGGCTAGTAAAGGAGGCATTTCCTGGAACCCTTTTATTTGAGTGTCAGGGGAAGAAGAAATACTGTGAAAAAGGGTAAACACAGCAAATGTTAAAGTGGAGGAGGAATCCCCTTTAGTCACACAAAAAAAAATAAAGAGAACCCAATCAGCATGCCACGCCTTTATGCTTGATTGATAGCCCATTATGGGAGAGAAAATAGGAATTTGTCACTACCCCGCCCTCAACTTGAATGACAAGTAAGGAGGAAATGAATTTTTCTTCTCCACCTACCCACCTTAATGAATGACAGGAATTTCCCCTTCTTGCTTGAATCGTTCTCCTTCTAGTTCAAAATGGTGGAGAGAGCAATTAATATTTTTCATAACTTTGAATTTTTTTCGTTTTCTATATCTATTTTTAAAATGGCAATAATTATTTTTCTTCTAATATCTTGTTTATGATTGATTAGATATCATTCTAATACTAAAACATTATTGCCCGAAAAATAATGTTTATTTATTTTCTGCTTCTTAGATTCAGATCATTTTAAGCTTTGTTTACCTTGGAGGTCAATTATACGGAAAAATCAAATATACGGACTTCGGGAAGTCCCGCCTATTCCGGATACGCGACTTTCCACTGTATATCCCAAATATTTTTTTTATTCTGTTCATCAAAACTCAGTATGCAACTACTACAACCAAGATATTTAAAGCACACTTTTAACATCTGCTGAAATGGAATTTTCGTCACATTTCTATTTTCAATTTAAATTTTGTTACACCTTTTTATATTAAGCTAGTTTGTTTGAAATAAAGAAAATATAAAAGTATACTTGTTTTTAATTTGTAGAATTAGTTACAAATTAATACTAGATTAACTTTAGTTATTTAAGATTAATATATTGCTCTAAATTTTTTAGTTTTAGAGCCACCTGATTTAGGATTCAGTGACATCTCGGGACTGGGGTTTTCTGGTCTAGGTTCACCTGGACTAGGATCGCCAGGGCTCGGAACTTATGGATTAGCCCGTTACGGCTTAGGCGCCGGTGGATCTGGAGTTGTAAAGGAGCAAGTTAAAAGAGCTACTACTACAAAAAGTAGACTCTTTGGCGAAGGAAAAGCTACTCCTGAGAGAACTTATGGTAAGTATGTTTTTTAAATTCCTTTATACTAAAGATTCCCTTTATACTATACAATTAATCTTTTGTTATTGATAAATGACATTTTTGTTTAATATTATCAACTAGATTAATGTACCAAAATTTAGAAAATGGTGCAATACTAACTTGTAAAACTCATAAAAATTTTAACCAATTGAGAATTATACAGTGTAACGTCCCATATCCGGACGTCCCTTTTCTGGAACGATCGATTTCCTGGACACTTTTTAACAATCAAAATAAAAATTTCTTCATCTTCTCTCTTCAAAAAAAAAGAAAGAAAAAGAGGTCTTTTGACATGTTTTTTCCTTTCCTAGCTTCTAGTGATTTATGCATTGAGCCCATAAATCAACAGAAAGGGGAGCAGAAGATCTACCAAGACCTTACCCTTAGTGAAGACCCTCCTCTGGAATGCTGGAATCCACAACTGAGTCCCCTTCCCCCATTTTGCCTATACAGCTGGCTAGTAAAAGAGGCATTTTCTGGAACCTTTTTATTAGACAGTTAGGGAAAGAAGAAATACTGTGAAAAAGGGTAAACACAGCAAATGTTAAAGTGGAGAGGGAATCACGTTCAGTCAAACAAGAAAAAATAAAGCGAACCCAATCAGCATGCCACGCCTTTATGCTTAATTGATAGCCAATGATGGGAGAGAAAATAAGAATTAGTCACTTTTCTGCCCTCAACTTGAATGACAAGTACGGAGAAAATGAATTTTTCTTCTCCCCCTACCTACCTTAATGAATGACCAGAATTTCCCCTTCTTGCTTGAATTGTTCTAGTTCAAAATGGTGGAGAGAGCAATTTATTAATATTTTCATAACTAAAATTTTTTTTCGTTTTCAAATTTTTTTTTTTTATAATAGCAATAATTATTTTTTTTGTAATAATTTGTTTTTGATTGATTATATATCATTCTAATACTAAAACATTATTGCCTGAAAAAAATGTTTATTTTCTTTTGCTTCTTAAATTCAGATCGTTTATTAGATCATTTTAAGCTTTGTTTACCTTGGGGGTCTTTTATACGAAAAAATCTAATATCTGGACTTTCGGAAGTCCCACCGATTCCGGATACGCGACTTTCCACTGTATATATATATATAATATAATATAATATAAATTATGTTGAAAGTAACTGCATATTAACCAGGATTCGTGATATTTTTGAATTAAATCAGATTTTTTTGATTTTTATTCAAATGCACTGTAAGAAATTTAATTTATAAAAATACTTTATAAATGTTTAGTCAAAATTAAATTAACATTTAATTTTGACTAAATATATGTAATAATTAATATATTTAATATATATATATAATAATATATTTAGTTATAATANATACTTTATAAATGTTTAGTCAAAATTAAATTAACATTAAAACTATATTATAACAATATTTTAGGAGCTCTAACTTACTAAAATAATTTTTCGTTATAATACATAACTTTGAATGCATGGCAACCATTTTGGAACAAATGCATGATTGAAATTTAAAGACTGGATGAATTAGAGAATTTAAAGAGTACTTCAGGGGTCTGTTTAGGTTTTTTTGAGAGGCACCTATTTTGTGAAAATTTAGACATAATTTGTGAAAATAAAAAATTATATTAAAAAATCAACACAAAAATATTCTAAAAATATGGATTTATCGTTTCTTACGAGACACAGAAATAAAATTTTAAGAAAAAATATTTTGTGAAATTATTTTACAGTTTTTCCTAAAGTTGAATTTGTGAAGGTACCGCTAAACGGTAGTAAATTTGGCTTGGACAGACCCCTATACTTAAACTATTCAAGCAAAGTTTCAATTAGCAAACCATAATTTTAATTTAAAATTGTGACTTCTTTTTTCCCCTCTTGATTTTTAAAATGACAAAATAAATGTAATAGATTGTGTTTATAAATGTAGTCGTTCATGAAAAAAATAAATAAATCTTTACTCTATATATTTTTATATTAAAATATTCATTTTCAATCCTACATCAATAAAATATAATGCAGATTTTAATTCCATGCTTTTTTAATCAAAAGGTAGAATTTTAATTAACATTATTTTAAATTTTTTTTTGAAAAAAATTCATGTTTATTAATTACTTTCTACAGCTATGCAAGTCTATATTAAGACAGCATTAAATGTTTACTTTAATCCGTACTTTCAATCTCAAGAATCAATAGATTTTTGAAAATAAAATTTCAAATGTGTTGGAATTTAACATACATCAAGAAAGTAATTTCGTTAACTAAAATTAATTAATGTAGTAATTTATTTAAAATGAATTTTAAAACTGAAAATAATAAAAGTATCAATAATTGAAACACTGTTTTTTAACTTTTTAAATCAATATATATTTAAAAACAATCAGTTGATTTAAATCAATGATTTTTTAAAAAAAATCATTTGATTTAAATCATTTGATTTAAATCGTGATTTAAATCATGATTTAAATCGTGATTTAAACCCTGATATTAACCAGATTTTTGTTTGATTGTTAACAGTTTAATCTTCTTTATAATTTATTGAATTTCAAATTAGTTTCAATCATTTTATCTTATTTAGAAAGATTTCAAAAGCTATTTCACTTAGTTCTTCCATTTCATCTAATTTTATGTTAGTTTAATGTTGCTTCCTTATTAATAAATATTCTTGGTAACATTCAATGTTTATCCTGTGATATGTATGTGTATAAGTGAGGTTAGAAAGGAAAGTTATAACTTAACTATTTTGAAGTGTTGATGACCATTTCAGATTTTCCAAGCACGTGCTAGAGAACTTTTTGAACTTGTAATTCCTGATTAATTTTTCATGCCTGTCAACTTTTATGCTGTTTACAAAAAAATTTCTAGTAATATGCCAATTTTATCATTTAATATATTACTCTGGCTTTGAAAATTTGATTTAAAGTTATTTTTACCACCACAAAATAAAAAATTTTAAATACCTATATAAGAATCCTGAAAATTATTTGTTATGTGTGTAAAAACCTGACAAAAATTAAACTTTGATAATAATTTAAATGTTTTTTACTTTGTGTTTCAACTATCACAATGGAAAATCTTTTGCGCAAATTGTAAAAGTTGACAGCTATTATTTTCCTCAATTGTGTTCATTTGAAAATAAAATATAAAAAAAAGTTATTGTAAATTAGAACTTAAGATAGATAGGTACTAAATGTTCTTGAGGATAAATTACTAAATTTTAAGAAAAAATATTTTATATTTGTTAGGCCTGATGAAATCAAAATGTATGTCTGTTTTATCCTGGACTGGTCTCAGTGCTGTACTTTTACCAGTCCAAGGTATGTGCAATAGGTTCAGCTAGCACAAATATATTTTCCTGCATACTTAAACTCTTGTAAAATGTAAAATTTAATGTTCTTAGTAAAGTTATAAATTTTTAAACTATTCCAAAAAATATTTAGTATTAAATTCCTGATTAATTTCATTTCATTTTGTTTGTGCACACTATTTGTAAACTAAGTTTAATTGTCTTAATACCATGTAGGGCCCCTGGGCACTGAAATATTTTGGGCTTCATAACATGTCTCATTGTTTGAAATCGAACTAAAAAACTTCACAAACGTGAAATAAAATTTTTAAGATATTCAGTAATTTAAACAAATTTTGATTACCCCAAAAACTAGATGAACATAAAATAAAGCATTTTTAAACTGCATAATTTTTTGAAAAAAAAAATAGAGATTCTAATTAGTGCCAATACTCTAATATTATTTTCAAATCTATGGAAGCCAATTTAAATAATCAAATTAAAAAAAAACGTAAAGTATAACAAAACAAGAAAAAAAATGAAATAGTATGAAATATTTTGTCAAACTTAGCAGTCATTAAGACATCCTAAAATGCACATCAGCCATAACAGTTTAAAAGGTTGCTGTGTCATAGTGATCTGTAATTCTAAACTCTTTCAATTATTACTTAAGCCATTTTTAAATGCTAAACAGAGTTGGTGTTGATCAAGCATTTTTAGTGGCATAACTTAAAATAAAATTTACTCACATTAATTTATTTTACAAGCGTGTATGAATCTTTCTGGCACAAATTGAGTAGTAAGTGAGATATGAGTACCTAAAAACATCATTGGAACGTTGAAAAATAGATATTGCTTGCCTTTTTAAGTTTTCCTGGTAATAAACTATACAAATTATTAGTGTTTGCATGATAATCACTATTTGTAGGAAGAAATACAAAATGTACACTTTATACAATAGAATATATTTATTTTAAAATATATATAGGACAATGTTGTTTTTATTTTTTTTTGATACAATTTATAAAAAGTAAGATTCTCAAGGGTCCATGGATACTGCCCAGGTTTGCACATGCGTAATGACTGTACTGATGAATATCCTAATTCATCAATAAGCTTAGAACAAAAGAATTCTAAATAAATGTTCTGAAAAAAATTCTTTTTTCTGAAGTGCTTGACAAAATTAGTTAACAAACAATATTAATTGAAATTTTTTACCTTCATTTAAGATTTGTATAGATTTTTGCATAAAAAATCAAAATTGATAAAGAAGCAACTCTTCTGTTCATTAATATTTTTATTAGTATTGCTAGTCTTAAGTCGCGACAAGATAAGTAGCTAATTATGGTTTCTTAATATTTTTTTAAAATTATTTTACATTTTTAGAGATCATGTGTTCTTAAATTTCTAAATTTCACCCTCGCCTTAAAACCAAACAATTTATTTTAATTGCACTTTTAATTTGATTTACTATTAATCTGGTTCGTAATGAGCAAAATCTTTGTGAAAGATTGGGTCTTAAAAGAAATAATAATTAACAAAACTTTTTCTAAATAATTAAAAAAACTGCTAAGAAGTGTGTAACATTAAAAATGTGCTTTATGGAAATTATAAAAATTTGCTTTATATCAGTTCAAATATAGTGATACCAAATTATTAATCTACTATACATATAATATTTTACTACAATAATTATTGTAACTCATTATTAAAAATTCTCTTAAAAAAGAAATCTTAATTAGTTTTAAAGATAATGAATAATAAAAGCAGTACAGAATTAAAAAAGTATTGTATACAAACTGCAAAATTTGTGAACATTTGTTCCGAAATTATATTCCGTTAATTAATATCCTAGTTGAATATACATATTCCTTAAGTTGTAACTATATATAAATGTTAAAAATGCTGATTAAGGAAGGTTCATCTTAAGTGCTTCAATGACTTGAAGATTTCTTTATGTAGTGTTTCTTTTACTCTTATTTAAGTTTGGAGAAATTAAAACAGATTTCTGGATAGCCAGTTTTTCAGAATTTTTGGAATATAATTATTTTTGTAACAAAAAATTAAGAAAGATGTGAAAGAGAGTGGAAAATCTAGTGAGCATTGAGGATTTATCATAATCATTAGTTCAGGGTGTGGTTTGGCAATGCTATTAAATAAGATACAAGCTGTTGACCAATCTAGGCTATTTTTTTGTGTGCACAATTTTATCCTGTTGCAGTTTATATCTATTATGACCATTGAGTTAGGTTTGATTAAATCATAATGGATCACACCTACACTAGAGCACCAAACCTTCACAAGCAGTTTTTTCAATTATTTTGCTGTTTTGGTGATTCAGCCTTCTTCAAGTAACACGAAAACCAATCAACACTAGAACAAAATTCGCTATTAATATTCCTTATGGCCTGAGATGCTCTTGCTTCATATAAGAACTCGTAGTTCAAAATAAGGCTGTTTTCCGTCCATACCCTTTTGAATAGATATATTTTTTTCTTTTTCTTTAAGTGTTTCATAATTTGTAATGCTTATAATTTCTAAAAAAGTAGGTGAAAGATGTAATTTTTTTTAATAAAAGGGAAGAACAAAAAAAGAAAAAAGAAATAAACGAAATAAAAATAAATATTAAGCCAATGTCGAGTAATGGAATTGAGCAGTGCGGATGAAAGATGATGTCAAATTTGCAATTTAGCTCTTGAGCCTTATAGTTTTACAGTTTAATCAGTTTTGCTGATTATTTTTATTAGTTTATGAAGTTGAGATTTTTGTTTTACTTTGCATTGCATTTTTGTTACCACCTTTTTCTTATTATTAGTCTGCTTAGTTCTTGTTTCTCTTTTACATTGGTTTGTTAATTTTTATTGCATGTTGCTTAAATTTTTAGTTAGGCGCAACCCCATAACTGGAGAGGGCATTGGGAAAACTGAGAAGATAAAGGCTCGTGGTAAGTTTGCAATTTGATATATATTTTTCTTTCCTTTTTTTGTTGCTTTTTTTAAATCTTTACATATGTAAGAAAATTACATTTTTCTAGTAAAAACTTTTCTCTTGGTAATGGAGATTTTTTATCTATTCATGAAATTTTTCTTATTTTTAATGTTTAAACATCAACTTAGTAATATATTTGCAAAATATTAAAATCTCCTAAATAATAAAATTCATCAAAAACTGAAGAATCCCAAACTGATGCTTTTTAAATAATGAAATAAATAAATAAAAATTTTATCAAAAATAGATTTATCAAAAAAAAAAAATATTTCTAATATGACCATTGAGCTAGACTTGATTAAATCATATGGATCACTCCTGCACTAGATCACCAAACCTTCATAATCAGTTTTTAAATTATTATTTGCTGTGTTTTGGCGATTCCGCCTTCAACTAACACGAAAGCTAACCAACACTAGAACGAAATGCACACTTAGTATTCCCTATGGTCTGAGATGCTCTTATTTCATATAAGAACTCGTTCAAACTAAGCCTATTTTCCGACCATTTCCTTTTAAATAAAACTATTTAAAAAAAATGTTTCATAATTTTTAATGCTTGCAATTTCTTAAAAAGTAGGTGAAAGATGTAATTTTTTACTAAATGGGAAGAAGAAAAAGAAAGAAAAACAAATAGAAAGCCAAATGTTGAGTAATGGAATTGAGCAGAGGGCATGAAAGATGTTAAATTTGCAATTTAGCTCTTGAGCCTTATAACTTTACAGTTTAATCAGTTTTGCTGATTATTTTTATTAGTTTATGAAGTTGACATTTTTGTTTTTCTTTGCATTGCTTTTTTATTACTACCGTTTTTTTAATTATTAGTTTGCTTAGTTCTTGTTTCTCTTTAACATTGTTTTGTTAATTTTTATTGCATGTTGCTTAAATTTTTAGTTATGCGCAACCCCATAACTGGAGAGGGCATTGGGAAAACTGAGAAGATAAAGGATCGTGGTAAGTTTGCAATTTGATATATATTTTTCTTTCCTTTTTTTTGTTGCTTTTTTTAAATCTTTACATATGTAAGAAAATTACATTTTTCTAGTAAAAACTTTTCTCTTGGTAATGGAGATTTTTTATCTATTCATGAAATTTTTCTTATTTTTAATGTTTAAACATCAACTTAGTAATATATTTGCAAAAAATTAAAATCTCCTAAATAATAAAATTCATCAAAAACTGAAGAATACCAAACTGATGCTTTTTAAATAATGAAGTAAATAAATAAAAATTTTATCAAAAATAGATTCATCAAAAAAAAAAGTAATTCTAATATGACAATTGATCTAGATTTGATTAAATCATATGGATCACTCCTGCTCTAGATCACCAAACCTTCATAATCAGTTTTTAAATTATTATTTGCTGTGCTTTGGCGATTCCGCCTTCTTCAACTAACACGAAAGCCAACCAACACTAGAACGAAATGCACACTTAGTATACCCTATGGTCTGAGATGCTCTTGTTTCATATAAGAACTCGTTCAAAATAGGCCTATTTTCATACCATTTCCTTTTAAATAAAACTATTTAAAAAATAATGTTTCATAATTTTTAATGCTTGCAATTTCTTAAAAAGTAGGTGAAAGATGTAATTTTTTACTAAAAGGGAAGAAAAAAAAGAAAGAAAAACAAATAGAAAGCCAAATGTTGAGTAATGGAATTGAGCAGAGTGCATGAAAGATGTTAAATTTGCAATTTAGCTCTTGAACCTTATAACTTCACAGTTTAATCAGTTTTGCTGATTATTTTTATTAGTTTATGAAGTTGATATTTTTGTTTTACTTTGCATTGTTTTTTTATTACTACCTTAATGAATTCAGCACCAAAATTTAAAAAAAATGTTGCTGTTATTTGTGCTATAAAATGCAAAATTCATACGTAATGAAAAATAATTATGTAACTAGTTTCTGATTATTGTGTAATTTTTCAATCTAAAATAACAAATTTTGTATGTTGAGGAGCTACTATATGTTTGTACTTCCCAGTTATTGATATGTCCCACACAGATCTAGCTAGACTAGATTATAATATGAACATAGTGATTCCAATTGTAAAAGTTTATTTTCTTTTCTAAATAATTTATAAAGTCATGTTTCTGATATATTTGTTATAAATCATGTAATAGTATTTATTAAAGAAATGGAATGTTAATGTATATTCTCAGTAGTTTTAATTTACTAAACTAGTTAGTTTCTCAAATAATAATTGTGTGAACTGAAGAGAAATATAATTTCCAGCTTTATTTTTTCAATTGGAAATTTTACTTTTTACTGAATGTTAAGTATCAATGTAATCATTAATATATTAATAAATTAGTACACAATTTACAATTATTCAGTACACAATTTACAAAGTCAAATTGTGTGAACTGAATATTTATTTTCTTAAATTGTCTGGAATTTATTATTAAACAATTGCACACTCGTAAAATTTACTCGCTTTTTGACCAATCTCACATTTGCAATAAATTAAAATCTTCTAAATAATAAAATTAATTAAGAACTGAAGAATACCAAACTGAAGCTTTTAAAATAATTAAAAAAAGAAATAAAAATCTTATCATAAATAGATTTATCAAAAATATACATATGTATATAAAGATAGACAAAAGTGATGTTTTTTTAAATCATATTGCATGACACAAAAGTTTGTTTTAAAATAAATTAACAGTTGTGTTCACGAATGAAAAAAAAACTGCAATTTAAATGCAAATTAAATATTTTAATTAAAAATTTTTAAGTGATCTAAAATGATTTTAAATAAGATTGATTTCAATTAAAATGATTTTAAATATTAGGTTTTTAAGAAAAATATGAGGAAATGGAACGATAACTGGCTAAAAGTCACTTGATTTATTGAGCAAATGCACACCACTAAAGAGTGATTAATGAAATTAAAACAGGTTTTCAAATTTTTATAGTTTACTTCTTATGTTTCTTAACAAATCAAAAGTTTTTTTTGTATTAAGTTTCAGAAGAGGCCCGTGAGCAACCCAATGCTGAAGCTCCTCCTGAAATCTAACAAGAAGTGAGATCAAGAAGGCCACCTGGTGGAAAGTAGTGCAGAGTTTTCTGGTTGCTTTATGTGATATCATCTACTCTATTGTATAATCCACATCCATTAAATGTGCAATACTCATTAAACTCATGAAATATTTAAGTGTGCATCATCTTTTTTTATTTTATTTGTACTGTGGTGTTAGTACCAATTTCCTTTAATATTACAGCTTTTTTTTCCCTACTGTTTCTTACGCTTTTTATTAAAAAGAATTAAAAATGAATTTAGATAATTCAAAAGTAATTTAATAAGTTATGAAAATAAAAGTTATTAAATTAATCTCAAAGCACGAAATTTGAACAAAATTGATTGAATAGTTTCTGAGTTAACAGATTTTAAAAAGTCGTTTATTTAAAACTTGATTTCTTGAGAACTATTGATTTCTCAAGTACATTAAAATTTTGTGATTTAAAATTATATACTGAAAAACTAATACCTTGCAATTCAAATTCTCTTCGTTAGATAAAATAAAGAATAATAATTATTTTGCATACAAATTATATTCGAATAAATGAATTATATAATTGTGTGCAAAAACTTCTGATTCACTTATCAAGTTCTCAAGATCTGGCGAAACGCGCAAAATGGGAAATTAACATGAAAGATTCCATACTTTTAAATGCTATCTCACATTAAATATTGGAATAATATTTTCTTGATTACGGCTATTCCCCCCCCCTTATTTTAAGGATCAGAATTTAAAACCTGTTGATAAAAAATATTTATTCTGATAGAGTGCATTTTTGTGTCTGATTTCAAGAGTTAAATTATTGTCAGCATTACTTAACATATTTAAGGTTAAGTCTTCAAACAATTGAGACTGAAAACTTGAAAATCATATCATTAGAGTAGATCAAAAGTTATTCTTGGAATTCATTTTTTATTATGCCTTCAATATGTAAATGTAGAAGTTTTAACATGAGCTGGAATAGAACAACTTACTCCGCTTGAAAACAAATTATTCATTTAATCTAAAATAAAATTAAACTCATTATAAAACTTGTAGAATTTTTGCATCTTAATTTTGAAGCTAATGAAATTTTTCCTTTGACAAGTGTTCTTAAGTGCCATTTGCAATAATCTATTTAAAATCAATAAATTAAAGTGACTTACTCTTTGATAAATAAGAATCCCATTACATTTTCAATTATCTATAAATGGGAAGGGGGAACATAAATTAAACAACTTAATAAAAATAAATTATAACTTTTTAAGTTGGTCATAAAGTCTTCAAAGAATCTTTGGGGATTCTTGCTTCTTTTACTAGCTTCGTTGCATCATTAAAGCTTAAAATACACGAATACTTTAAAAATCAAACTAAGTCTTTTGAACATGAAATAAATAAAACACACACTGAGTCAAGTACAAATCACACTCTTAAAACTGTTTTAAGTTATAAATGTTCAATTTGCAAGTGTACGCTGAAAATTAGTAACTGATGTAGCTCCTAATCATGTAATTGGTTTTAAAGAAAATGTGTCAATCAAGGAACCTATCTTTTTTATGTAGCTGAAGTCTTCGGAGAGAAGGACAATTTAAAAGTTTCAAGCTTACCTTATCTTTAACAGTATAAAGAAAAAAAGTATTTTTCGCTCATTTGAAAAGTATTTTTCGCTCATACGCGAGTGTAGAAAATCAATTTGTTACTTTTGTTTACACAAAGAATCTTCCTTTGCTCTAGTTTTGTATTTCAGGTCTTAGCTATTCATGTATTTAGTCGAAAAAGCATTAATAATTTTGTGCTGGGATACCAGTAATGCACAACTTTTTTTACAGCAGGATTGAAATAAATATAACACAATAGAAATTTAGTTTAAACTAGCAATGCACCACCTTTTTGAATAAAGGGCCACTTGTACAACAGGTTGACCCATGAAGGGCCGCATGTCCAAGTATTTAGACATGTTTACAGCAGCTGTGATACACAAATCATGAGAGCAACTAGTGCTTTAGACACTGAGGCTGATATGAATTTCAAGTCGAAGATAGGTGTCAAAATTTCTAAAAACATACATATGCTAAAGAATATTTAGAAGTCATTTTTTAAAAAAAATATTTTTTTCTTGTCGCTATAATCGATTATATGATATGAAGCAGGTTAGAAAATTCACTGTAGCCTATATTTAATGTATATTGCCTTTTTCTGTTTTAGGCATTGCTCTCCTTTGTTTTCTATCAGTTATTATTACCTTTAACTTTCTAATGTGGTGAGCAAGTTTGGAATCAAAGCGATGGATGGTCGAAATGATTTCCGCACCCAGCTCGCGCCGACCTCAGAGCTGACGTAAATTACCATCAGTGGTAGATAGATCACGGGTTACAGGCCCCTTGCCGTTAGGCTAACCGTGGGTGGTTTTCCTCAATAAGTAATACAATTGTGAATTAGTTTCATCAAAAAGTCATCCCTGAAGGCAAATTTCTCCCATTACTTGATCCAAGTGTTCCTTTGTCTTCTGGATTGGGTTTAAAATTGTGAGGCTACAGAGTTAATGTTAGTAGTAGTCGTAAACCCAAAAAATTGGGTCGGCTGCTAAATGATGGTTATAAAATAAAATTATAATATCACGGTCAATGTAGTAATATACTTGTATAAAATTAAATTCTTCTAAATAATAAAATTCATTAAAGACAGAAGATTACCAAACTGATACTTTTAAAAGAAAAAAAACAAACTACCTTATCAAAAAACATTTATCGAAATGTTTTTATTATATAGCATAACACAGAAGTTTATTTTAAAATAAACTATGTTCAAGAAAATATTTATTGAACAATGTAAATGCGAATTAAATATTTTAAATTAAAAAAAAATTATGTTGTCTAAAATGATTTAAAAAAAAAACTTATATAGCTCAAAATGAGTTTCAACATTTAATTGGGATTCAGTTCAGAATACTTTTGACTTTTAGGACACTTATAATTAGTAAATTATAAGAGATTTTAGGAATGCTGAATCTTAATGGATTTTGAACACTTTTTTTTTTTTTTTGAGCTGCAAAAAAAAGTAATACGTTGAAAAACAGTAAACAGTTTAAATACCCATGTTTGAATTTTTTTCGTGTTATAATATTGTGTTAATATAGTTAAAAATAACTGGAAATACGTTGCAATAACTGTAAAAAGAATGCTGAAAAATAACCTGGATTGGCAATGAAATGGATAAAAAAATTGATGATTAAAATGCGCAGTTCAAAACTTGCAAATAATATCGTATGAAAAATATCATGATCGTGTTAGAAATATCGTGATTTTCTTAACTATGTAGAAAGGCGCTGCAAATGTTTTTTTTTAAAAACAAAGATGAAATTGTCAGAAATAAATCAAGTCACAAATGATTATTAAAATGCATGATTCGAAAATCACAAGTTGTTATAATACCGGATTAAAAATATGGAGAAGCGAGGTTCAGAAGTAGAGTTTACAGGTCTGGGCTAAAACAAAGCATTTGCACTGTTTGTTGGTACGAACACAATGTATTGAGGGTTTAAAGCGAAGTTTAATAATCATCTGCAATAGTCAGCAGAGTAAATAAATATGCTATAAACCAGGGCTCGAAAAACCACCCGTCCGCCCGTCCTCGGCGGTCAAATATTTCCCGCGGACAACGAATTTCTCGAATCCGACGTCCGCGCGGATGCCCATTTTCCCGTTAAAGTTGGTGATACATTTTCAATTTTTGTTATCTTACAAGAGTTTAGCGCCTCACTTCTAAAATGACCCTCTAATCTAGAAATACAGCAACATACTGCGCATGGTGGAATTGATGTTTTCCCTGTCTCCCGTACTGCAGCAGTTGAAAGGGACTTTTCAGCAATGGACTTACAAAAAAAAACATTACGTACTGGTCTTAAACAAGAAGCATTAAACGCAATTATGAACATCTACCTACATGGAAAACCCCTTTCAGATTTTTGTGCAGAAACCTCTGTAAATCATTAGCTTGATTGTGGAACTGGCAAACGTCATATTTGATTCATTTAAAAAAGGCAGTACCCTCGGATAAATTGACATTCCAGATAACTTGACATTTGTCATTTAAATTATTTCATAAAAGAAACAAATTATTTCATAAAAGAAATAAATTATTTTATAAAAGAAATACTAGGTTCCTATTAGTAATTATTAGTATTCCTTTTATTACTGCATAATGCAATCCTAGTATTTGTAATCCTAGTAACTACTAATTCATTGTGCAATTTATATAAATGTTAGTAATAAATAAGAGAAAATTATATTTTTATTTGTTTAGAAGCGACGGGTTAGTTTCAAAGGAGGACGGGTACATTGTTGGACAAGCCGTCCTCGGGGACGGGTAAAATTTTTGAGTTTTTTCGAGCCCTGCTATAAACCTTTATAGATACATAAGGTGTTTTTGAGCTTGACAGATGTAAAAAACACCTGATTTAGAACTGAGGTTATGTTCTGCACCAAGATAACCTCATTAATACATTAATAAACAATTTCAACTTCATGTAGCTCAGCTAGTATAATAGTGATCGAATTAAATTATTCACACCTGAAATATACTTATTTGCTTGAAGTGAGAGAAAAAAAAACCTGTTCACCTAAAAAACAACTAACACAAAACAGCTAAGCTGGTTGCCCTAAAGTAGATTTGCTCTAAATATGAATAAAGCTTCGTACACGTTGAGAGGTTGATTTTGTAAGGTTGCTTTTGAAATCAAGTATGAAGTACCTGTAAATTATTTATAAAATTAGTGAATTACAATATATTAGTATAGTTGAGCTTATATTTTTTAGAATATTTGTTAACTCATAATTTGATTCAGCAATTTTCAAGGAAAAGCAGAAAATGAAATTATTTGAAACATTAAAGGGGGAATAAATTGGGCACTGTTAAACATTAACATTGAAAAAGAAATCAGAATATTTTGATAAATTTTTAAATAAATGCTCTCGTTTCAAAATTTAATTTTTTTATTGTTTCTTTAAAAATATGTTTTAAGTAAAAATGAAAGCATTAAAAATTATAAATATTGTTTTTTTTTCTAAGAATATGAAATCTAAGAATGAACTCTTTTTTTTTTAACAGGCACAAAAAAATACCCATTTAACCATTTAATTTTATTAATTATTAATAT